ATGCGCGGGGTGGTACGAAACTCAGAATTGGGTGTGTTTTCTGTTTTCGATTACTGAGCGGTAGCGGTGATGCAGTAGCATGTCGGCACCTGATCGGTAGGTACCTACCTACCTCAGAAGGCCCACAGAACCTCGCAACAAGCGCACGAATCAAGGAGCGCTTACCTATATGATATCAGAAACATGCCCCCCGATCTTCGCCGTCTCTTGAGTATAAGGCACATGTCTCCCCCTTCACTCAAAACGTCCGAGTACCTATTTCGTAAGACCAAGTTAAAATCTCCTCACACCACTTTCCTTCCCGGTTAATTAACTCCATGGCGCCAAAACCGCTCGAGGCCGCGCAGCCTCCCCACCTAAAAATGGCAATAATCCAGAACAACAGCGACCCTTTGCTCTCCGACTTCCTGAAAGCTTGCACGAATAACGATGCAGCTCTCGCACTACAACTAGCACCCGAGCGCGAACCCGCTCTCTTAACCTTTGGTCTCAACGACGCGTTGCGTGGCCGCCATTTTGATCTAGCAACCCAATTGGTAAAAGCAGGCGCAAGATGGGATACGTTTACAGTCCAATCCGCGTCGAGGAGTCCGGACGGGGTCAGGTGGCTTGTTGAATCCGGGTACGACGTCAACACGAGTCTGGTGGGGGGAACTGTTCTTCTTCCGTAAGCAGCGCCTCTCACTGCCACTGACACGACACTGAACAACGGTTTTTTAGCATGGTCGTCACGTACAACGACGAAGTTTCTATTCCGTATCTGCTGGAGCAAGGCGCGAATCCCAATCTGGGGCCTTTGATGAATCCGCGGGACCCGGGGCCCATGATGAATCGGCGTCCGGTGCCCAACTCATGCGTTGTTCTCAACCAAGCGGCGTCTACTTGCACACCGGAAATCTTCGCTCTACTGCTTGCTCACGGTGCGAATATTGCGAATGCCACGCCGCTCCATAACGCGGCGGCAGCGTTCACACAATTGCGAGTTCATTCCCCTATCTGCAGCCGCGTGCTCATGCTGGAGTATTTGGTTGGTCTGGGACTTGACGTCAACGCCTTGGATGATGCGCGTACGATCCCCGAAGACGCTCGTGGGCGTACGGGCACGCCATTGACGTACGCTATCCAATGGTCACGCGTGGAGGAAGCCAGGTGGTTGCTAGAACATGGGGCGGATCCTGACAAGAAGTCGACGTTTGGATGGTCTGCGAGAGATCAAGCGAAGAGCATGGCGAGGGGGATGCCACCGGACCACGAAATGGCAGTCTTGTTTCGGAGATTTAAACTTCTTGAAGCATAGCGAGATGACTCCTCACCCAGTAATCAGTTTTTAGTCTTAGAGTTCACTACCAAGTATTCGAAACCAAGTAATCCCAAGCAACAAAAATCGTATAAAAAACAGTCCAAGTCCACCACCACCACCACCAATTCTATCCCCACTCTAACGCCCCCATCTCCCCCTCTTCCTCCTCCCCACTCCCACATCATCACCCTCACGCCCCCGTTTCCCCCCACCACCACCACCAAAACACCCCTCCAACGGCCCAACCTCCTCAAGCACCACACCCCTCCCCCACGCCCCCCCAAACCCCCAGCCCTTCTTAAAAACAGCGCCCCTCCCCCTCCCCCTCCCCCTCCCCCTCCCCCCCCCCCCCCCCCCCCCCCCCCCCCCCCCCCCCCCCCCCCCCCCCCCCCCCCCCCCCCCCTCCAACCTCCGCACAGCACCCACACTCGGCGTCTCATCTAGTTCGCGGACGGCAGCCCCATACGTGGCAGCGTCAGCACGCAGCTTGAGCCACCACGGCGGCTCATCTAGGATGTTGTGGAAGGCGCTGCAGGGGTTGGGGTTGAGCAGGGCACATGTGGGTGCGCAGGTGCCGGCGGGGAGGGAGGCGGGACTGCAGCTGTTGCAGTAGTGGCCTTGGTGCGTGTGCAGGCGTTGCATGTGGAGGCGTGTGGAGAGGGAGAGGCTGATTGTGGAGAGGGTGATGCGGAGGGTGGATATGCGAGATAGGAGGGAAGGGAAGGGACGAGGGGGTGTGGGTTGGGGGAGCATGTCTAGCCATGATGCGTTGGGGCCGGTTGGGAGGTTGGGGTGGGTGCTGTGGGGCATGGTGCTAGTTAGGAGTTTTGAGTAGTGCTTTTGTGGGTTTGGTGATCAGCTGGGTGGAGTTGAGGGTAGTTGGACGTGCGGATAGACGGTGGACTGGTTTCTAGAGAGGAGGAACAGGGGGGAGGAAGTATCATATATAGGGGACAGGGATCGCGAAGAGGGAGGAAGAAGGGCTTCGGTGCGCTGTAAAGATCGTGGTAGGGAAATAGGAACAATACATTGTGTTAGGTTGACAATGTCTCACTCATGGACAACTCTTCTCATCCAACTGTTGGGACCGCAACAGCGAAGTCTGAAGATTGCTAAAGTATGGAAATCTTATACAGTGTGGATGGAAGCGAGTGGTGCGTTGTGAGCGCAGCGTTTGAACCCCGTCACAAGTTGACGAAAATGATCGTGGCGTTGGCTTGGAATGATGTGTTCGATCAAGGACGAAACGTTTGAGGGTAGACCTGATGTATCTTAACCTGATGTTCTAATCACTATTCCTTTGCAGATTTGACATCGCGTCTTACGAACGCCTCTCCTCTAGCAACGCCGTAGGAACACCTCTCTTGCCCAATATCGCCTCAAATGTTGTCGGCACATGCCGTTGCTTGACTTCCACTTCTTGTAGCTCCATCTCTCCCTCATCACTTTCTTCTACCTGCTGTGCTTGGCTTGGTGGTCGCGGTAAGGAGAAGTTGATGAATGTGCGTGCGTCATGTGGTCCCTCCAACATTGACGAGGAAACAGGTCCCCGCAGATCCCTGGGCATTCTGACAGCATCTTTAGGATCTGGAATGGTAGAAGTACACGTTGTATCTTTCCGGCCGGCGAGCACGTCAGACATCCCTTTTGGATGTTGACCTTGCTCTTGATCAAAGCTGAAGCGGCGCGAGGTAGGCGGAGAACGCGCTGTAGATTGTATAGCCAATAAATGGAATGTTGTCGTCACGGGGAAGCGCGTACTGATCTGGCTGTCGCGCCTCTCGGTCGTGGTATCCACGTTTCTCGCGCTCGGGCGCCTGACAGCAGTCCTGCGGCTCAGCCGTACGGGATTGTTTCTGGAGCTCGGCCCTCCCGTAGGCTGTTGGGCAGAGATCGGTGGATCTGTCATGGTGTTTTCGGTATCTTTGCTGACAACGTCTCTCTTAGCACTCGCTATTCGCAGAGGTGCCGGTCGTAGTTCTTCAACGCCCATACGTGAAGGCCCTGCCCGGTCCATATGCGTGACTGACTACGTCATTAGAGTCAAGCGCCGTCCATACCTATCCTTCACAAAGCAACTCCTTCGTACATCGATATCGTTCACTGTGTCACCTATCCGGTTATCATCAAACCACGCTTCTGCTCTTTCAAGTGGTATAGCTCTTGCCTCCATATCAAGTTCGTGCATGTATTCTCCGGGGGCAGTTATCGTGATATGTCGGCTTGCCTTGTACGACCGCGCTCCTCTAAAGGGCTACATTGTGTTTGTGGAACAATGTGAAGATGTGGATCGCGGCGGAAAGATTACATCGTATCGTTGACATTGTACAAGGTTCGACGTCTGTCGCGTATGTTCCTTACAGTATTACAGGCAGGTGTCTCTGGTCCTCAATCTGTATATGTAAAGGCGTTTACCTGTCGGCCTTGAAGAAACGTATCGTACAGTCTGATCCTCAGATGGGCGACTTCCAAGGATCGAAGCCGTCGGGTGTGCTCCCACGGTAGACTTTACCCATTAACAGCTCTTTGCATATCGTCATCCAGCCCCGTCTCCTCTTTTCTCCTTCTCATCTCCTCCGCCACTCCCTCGACGCTAACCGGAACGCTCCTACCCGCCCACCTCCCCTTCTCCTCACTAACCCACCCCTCCAAACTCAACATTCCCACGCATAAAAACCCCAGCATCTCCCTGTCCGTATCAAACACTTCCCACCACTCACACTCCGGCATCTTGATCCCCACCTCCCTCGCCGCCAAGTAGATCGCGGCCGTTGCAAGCGCGCTCGGTTGGTGCGTCAAATACAAACACTGCGGGCTCAGCAGCGCCGTATTCAAGTACGCAATCGCTCGTTTCGCGAGCTCGGGGGCGCGCGGGTGGGAAAACGTGTCGAGAGCTTGCAGATAGGTTATGCAGAGGGTGTAGGGAAGTTGGACGTGGGTGTTGAAGCCCAGCGTGCGGAGGATGACTTGTTCGGTTGTAAAGAGTGTGCTGCGACGACGCTCGTATGTGCCTTCTGATACGAAATACTCTTTCTCCAGACCCCTCTTTTGCAAACTTTCCGCATCGTAGAAACTCGTCGGCAGATTCGATAGATACGCATACACATTGACAACACTCCGTGCTGATTTTGGGTACGCTGAGAGCTTTGCTGTGAGGTACAGCGACGCGGCTGAGACTTGCTCTGCGCCGTATTCCGTAAGACTTCCGCCAGGAGGACCGAGATAGAAGCGCTGGAATAGTACGATCCCTTGTGCGATGACTTCTTGGGGGAGTCGGAGCAGGACTCCTGCAGCTTGGGTGAGGCTGGCGCCAGCGAAGCGGATCGAGTCTTCAAGATCGGGTGGGATGCTATCGAGTTGCGATGCAGACGTTTCGAGATGGGCCACCGTTGCCAGTGGATTTGCAAGGGGTGAGGGCCGCATTTTGGAGAGAAATATAACGGGTTTAGATATTTTGAGGGGGATGTTATAGTTTTGCGCGCGAGGTCGAGTAAAGTCGCGGTTTGGAGCTGTGAAGCTCTGTCGGAGGTCCGACAAGTGAACCTCGGTGCCGGTACACTAACCGCTAATCACCCCTAGCATCCATCCCAACTCCTTCTCCCCACAACCCACCAAATTCTGAAGCCCATAACCCCATCCCAAATCCCAACAATATAAGCCCCCGACTCCCCAAAACCAGCCATCCAATAAGAAACCGTCTGTCTCCTTAGCTCAATTGGGAGAGCGCCAGACTGAAGTCCAATTCGGTCACTATTAAAACATCTGGAGGTATCGTGTTCGATCCACGAAGGGGACAATAAGTCGTGCTTGCTTGCTCAAGATTCTTCGAACCAATTTTTTTTTAGCTATAGGGGTGGGGTGTGATGGAAAGGACTCAAAGGAGCATCTATGATCTGACTGTACATGGGATGGAAGCTGAAACCAACAGTACCCACCCCATCATATAGGCGGTGCCAGGTAGGGGGCATCAAGGTCACTCTTTTTTTTGTCTTAGCATGGGGCTAGTTGTTAATACTGTGCAACATGTAGTGGCTGGCAATGGGTGTGTTAATCTAAAATACATTTGTAAACTAGATACAAGCATCATTACAAATATAGCTATAACGCATAAAACTATTCAGGTCGTAAGTGTAAGTGGGTATCTTGCCGGCTAAATAGTATCCAACTCCTGCGCTGCCTGCGATGGGACGGACGTGAACATTCGATCCGGTGTGTAGGTTCTACCATATATCCAATAATCCAGGCACAAATATATATATGTATGCTCAGTCGATGCCAATCATGGTGCCATCGCACCTCCAATCATCAACTTCCACATCCTTGGCTGCCGTATTAGTAGCCTCGGGGTCAATCTGAACGTGACTGAGCCATGTTCCTACTCTGTTCGCACCGACCTTTCTGCCGTCCTTGGAAAGGCCAGCCATTGTCGAGGAAGTGACTACTGGCGGCGGCGCAGAACGCATGGTGACAGGTGCTGGGACACGACGGGTGCTGGTGAAGAATGAACCCCGGGGAGCTGCTTGACGCGCGGCTGTGCGTTGTGCGGATGTGGGCATGGAGCGGATAGCGTATGACTCGTTCATGTGGTGACTACCAGCGTTACCCAGGCCGTATATTTGGACTCCGGGGTCTACGCGATGTACTTCTGATACTGTTGGAGTGGAGTTGAGGTGGAGCTGGTCGCGAAGGTGAGCGGTTAACACTTGATCGGCACGGTCGAGGTCGCGGTCCCGTTCACTACGGTTACGGGTGCGTGTGCTCGAGCGGCGTGCTAGGGGCGGGGAGGGTTCATGAGGGATCTCAATCACTTCAATGTCGGGATATCGTTGTGTGTACGGCACGCGCATGTCGTTCAGGCGATCGTCGTCCGGGATGTGTTGGTAGTTGAACCAGGGACAATTACAGGTCTTCCAGGGTGCTGCACACACCATGCAAAATTGAGCGGTACATCGGCTGTGAAAGCATTAGATAGTTGTCCTAGTACGGTAGACGCTGCTTGACTTACCAAGTCATATGATTGCAGCCCTCCTTCAGCTCCACCACAGCTTTGCAGCTGTAGCACCGCTGCCAACCCTTTTCCTTAGCCATCTCCACCAGCCGATTCGTCTCCTCATCCTTTGGACATTCGCGCTTGGTATGGAATCTACTGTTGCATAGTACACAAACTTTCGTATTGCAGGTACCACACCTGGCGTATTTTCGGCCGTAGGTCGGATCCATTTTGATTCTCGATGGCTTGATCCATTGACCACATCCTTTGGCGGGACAGTACAGCCGGTTGGCGGTGGTGTACTCTTGGTACTTCCTATTCCAAAGAACTTTGAACTTGTCGTCAAAGAGGCGTTCGGCGTACTTCAGCGGAATGTGCTCGGTGGTGCAACATCTTGGAGGCATGTGTTGCGGGTCCTGGACGGAAAGGGTGAATTGACGCTTCAGACACGAATAGCACATGCGGTGACCGCAAGCAAGCTTGACTGTCTTGTTGATGGGGAGCTCATCGTTCATGCAAACGAGACAGTCCACTCTGGAAAAAGGGTCAGTGGAGCAGAGACAACTAGTTGAATGATACCGACCTCTGAACCTCTTTGTGAACCACAGCGGAGGATGTACGTTGAATAGGGGGCCTGAAGAAGCTCGAGAGAAGACCCCCTGTCGTCTTACGGGTAGTGTCTCTGATGGACTGCGTCCTGGTAAGCGGCGTCAGGGGCGTGGGCGACTTGATGGTGCTGGTGCGTCGCACAGACGGCCTTGTTGAGCCATATGTTCTGGCTGGCTCGCGTGCAGATGAACTCCTGTTCCTCGTTAGTCGATGCTACGTGTACAAGTGGGGACGGGTCGGACCTGGTCAATGTCGGAATTTCGACCCTGCGAACGGATGCAGAGCCAGAGCCTGACAGCGGCGTGTATGCAGTCCTATTTGACGACCCGCCCTCGTCGCTCCTCTTCCGCGCAGAGGACCGCCGCACAGTAGCCTCTTCAGCATGCGGCCTCGACTTCGGCCTGCCATAGACATAATCGTCGCTCCGGTCGTCCGCGACGACCTCTCTCCTCTTGGCCCGCCGCGTGCCATCCCGTCTGATCTCGCGATGGCCGCTCCGGGGCTTGTCCCTCACTGGCTCTCGCCGTATCTCCTGGGCCATGCGTTCTGAATCACGGCGCCGCTCGGCCTCGGGTCGGGCGTAGTAAGACTCTCTGCGTGCTCTCAAGTCGTCGATATCCAGCTCTGCCTCCCTCCTAGCGTCGTCTGCGCGGCGTCGCTCTCTTCGCTCCCGTGTGGCAGCCGATGGCTCGTCGTCGTCGTACTCGCGGGCTCTGTGGCGGCGGCGGTGTCGTCGGTCGCGGTCGTGGTCGTGGTCCAGATATTCGCCGCCGTCGCGATATCGTGTGCCTCGCTCATCGCGATCTCTCGCCATGCCCGGGGACCTGCAGGCAATATACTGCTAGCCAACGGCCAGCCTCGCAGCTCGCAGGTCACAGGCGCTCACGGCTCTCGCAGACAACTCAGGCAGCTGTGCAGGCGGCGCACAGGAGCGAACAGGTGTGTGGAGAGTTGCGGTGGGCGTGACGAGCGAACAGCGAACAGCGAGCACCTGCAGCCAGGCCAACCCTGATCAGACCAAGACTGACCAGTTGCACGGGGGAAGCCGTCGGCGGTGAGGGCGCACAGAGTACCTGTTGATCCAAAGCGGCCGCAGCCCTTCTCGCTAGCTTCTTTTAGCGCCTGCAGGGGTGGGCGTCAGGCGTCGACGGACTGGCTGCCAGCTGTCTCACATCAGTAGATGCAGATGATGTACTGTATTCCCCTCCACCAAACGGAGGGGGTTGGCTGTGTGCACAGTTTATGCAGTGTTGCGTCGCCGGCGAAGCAAAGACGGCCATCGGGCTTGCTTCGCACCCTACGTAGCGTCGCACTGCCTCACTTCTTGGGGCAACCTTCGGGCTGCGAAGGCGGATATGTACCGTATGCGGCCTGCATGCTGAAAGATGACTCGCCACAGCGCCGTGAAGATTTTATTGCAGAGCCTAAACGTCCAAGCCCGACGGCGCCCACGTCCGCGAGTTCTCAGTCTTTCTCGAGCGTCATTTGCGTCGACACTTCGATCCGCCACTTCTGTCCTCCGCTGCCGTATCCGCCGCCCAAGCGGTTGCGTACCATGCTGCCAATGCGATCGCGAAGACGCCCAACATCCTCCAAGTTCCGCACCCGGAGCTTCAGGTTCGCCTGGCAGAGTCCATAGTGCACCTGCCAGAACTTTGCTTCTTCCACCGTCCTGATTGCTGGGTCCGTCTCCAAGTCGTACAGCACATCCGACACTCCGGGACCCGAGTACGACATCAGAAGCATCTTTCCCAAAGTCCACCCCTGGATCCACCCTAGTGCTACCATCGAGAACGCAACAGAGAAGGAGAGGGTCCGATCTAGCCAAACGTACATTTGTATGCTCAGCAGAGGTAGAAGAAGGAGTAGCGTCGAGCAAGACAGCGTAAGGAAATGCGACGGGTTGCTCAGCACCGAAGGTAGGTTAGCGATAGCACTCAACCGCATGACCTTGCCTATGCGCGCATGATTCTTTAGCAAGATGGCCGAGACCAGGGTCGAGATGATGCCACTCAGAGCAGCAAGATCAATGCTGCCAGGAGATACTCGCTCGTGGCCGTCCCCATGGTGCGCCTGGTGGCCGCCTGTGTTTTCGAGAGCGTGTGTCAGCCCATGGGATATAAGATCGAGGCCCATGAACAAAAGCCCAACGGACATTCCCAGTCCGGCAATGACCTCTAAACGTTCAAAGCCAAACGGATGCCGTATGCTCGATCGTTTCCAGACTTCGAAGTTCGAACCAATGTCCACAGCCACACAGAGGAAAGCCCCAAGTGCATCGTAGAAGATGAGACGAGACAGCACGGTAAGAGCCAGCGACTCGTGTGCGCCCCATTGTACGAGCCCTGCCACAACCAAGTGACAGAAGCACCATGCTAACCGCAGCTTCTGGTCCTTCGACATAGACGAGCGGTACTCTTTGAATGTCGGGATCGGGAGCGATGCAGGGAGCTGCAGGGGCGCGCGCGGTGCGGGTTCGAGAAAGATCTGGTGGGAAACGCTGCTGTGCTTGTACTTGTGTCCTCGTCTCCGTCCGATATCCTGCGAATTTCAGTATGGTCGGATCGAATTTGGACTTAATTGACGCACGTTTGCTTTGGGCTGAGAGCGCCCTGGCTGGTAGGTGACTGATTGGAAATTGAAAGGGTTAGGACTCTCCGAAGCGCTGTTTGGAGGTCCGTCCGTATCTGTCGTGCCACTAGGAGCACTTGCTGGAGTATATGGGAAGGTCGCGCTCGACGGTGTGTAGAGAATAGAGGGCGACGCTCTCTGAGAGACGGAATCGTTAGGCCCGAGGGTGGCATACTGCTTAGAAGGGAACGTGGCCGATATTGGGGAGAGGAGCGCGTTCGAGCCCATAGTCGCGCCAGGCACGTCGCTCTCGAATCCAAGGCCAACTGGTTGAGGCGCGTCTTCGTCAGGAGGTGGAGTAGGTGTTCTCGGTGGAACGGGCATTGGCATTTTTGAAGACATGGCTGTGGGCAAAGTGAATGACAGTAAGGAATGACTCTAGCGAGAACGCACAACAGGGCAAGAGAGTGATAAGAAGTCCAGATAGACCCCGAAGGGGGAGGTGGAGGGGAAATTGGGGGAGGCCTTCCATATGCAGCTTGGCCGATCGCCTTTGAACCCTGCAGCCAATTGCCAACCAGCCAATCTGCGTTCACCAAAGCCGCTTGCAGGGAAGCGCCACCTTG